TTTGGTCAGGTTTACTCTGAGATATGTTATTTTTTTTGCAGCTATTTTGAGTGGGAGTGTTTCCATGTGCTCTTTCTCTGATTGCTTGTTATTGGTATATAGAAAGGCTATAGACTTTTGTAGGTTAATTTTGTAATCTTATCCCAAGCAACCTGTGAGCTTTGTGATAACAGTGAAAACTCATTTACAAAAGAAATGCTTTAGGAACCAGGTAAGTGGAGCACTTGAAGCTGGCTTTATTAATGTCATCTTATTTTTACCGATGATCTGCACTTTATTATTTTTTTAAAAATTTAAAATTTTATGTGTATGAGTGTTTTGTGTGCATATGTATGTGTACCATATGCATGCCTGATGTCTATGGAGGCCAGAAAAGAGTGCTTGATCCCCTGGAACTGGTGTTGCAGATAATTATGAGCCTCCACGTGGGTTCTGGGAACTGAACCCATATCCTCTGAAAGAATAGGAAGTGCTCTTAACCACCGAGCTATCCCTCCAGTCCTTAATCCATATGCTATAAAAGTATATTCCTATCATATCACTTACTCTCACAACCCAAAAAAGGATATAAGTAGACATTAACAGAGTTGAGGTCCAGAACTCAAGACAAATTGATTTCAAGTCTTGGATCAGCCTAGATCCAAGTTGGACCTTTGATAGTATAAACATTTGTTTAAGAATGGAAATATATCTCCCACTTCATAGGCTTCATAAACTGTCATGGCTCAGAAATAAATATGTCAAGGTCTTAGCATAGTGTTACATAGTAATTGCTTAGCAAAAGGTAGCTATTTTTATTTGTTATTATGTGATTTGTACATCATCTATAATACAACTGCATGCCAAAAAAGCCTATGTGTATTACAATGTTACATAGAAGGACATATTAATAAATGTTGTAATAACACATGTACAGTTTTATAGCTCAGTCCTGTTCCCCCTTTATGCATGCATACACCACATGCATTTAACACACACATGTACACTCATATACACACCCCTCTCTACACACGTTTCTCTAATTTAAATACATTATACCTATTCCAGCATTTTAAATGTTTTTACAAGTGTACATGATAACTTGCTTCTCAGCACCATTTTTACCTACACTTCCTAAGTTTAGTTTTGACTAGCTTCTCCTTGTGACATTTAGTGTTGGTGGATTATCTACTCTCTCAGACTGACTTGAGTTGAATCATCCAAACTCATGCCTGGGTTGATTCCAAGTTCGCCCCTCTAATACTTCCCCAAGCCTGATCTGAGTTTCATGCTGTGCCCCACCCCTGCTGCTTACCTTCCCTATATTATAAGTAATGAATATCTGTGGAAGCCCTCAGGATCCCCACTAGTCCAGTGCCCCCTCTCTCTCTCTCATTCCTTAGTGAAAGATAAACAGATGATAATAGACTTTAAGGTCTTGCTTGTAGGTTTGGAGAACCTCATCTTTTCAGCATATGTTGAAAAAAGTATATTTGATATACCTACTTGTAAAAATTGGTTTAATTTTATTTGTATGAGTTTGTTGGGTTCTTTTGTTGGTTGAATGATTTTTATCATCTTTGCTGTTTGACATAATTCATCCTATACATTCCCATATATATAGTTAAAATAGTTCTCTCTGATTTAGACAGTTTCATTTATACCTTGCCCAATAAAATAATGATATAAAACTTTACATTTATGTCATTTTAAGTTTCTATAATTAATTGCTTAGCTGACTATTTCTAATATGTCATTTAGAAAGATAAGTTCTTAGTTATATTAGGCTTAGTGTAATTCATTAATGTTTTAAAACTTATTTTTATTATATTGACCAGGTGCGTCCGATGTGAACCAACATTCGTGAATACCAGCCACTCCTGTGCATGTTCAGAACCCAACATTTTAGTAAGGATAATCCAGTTCATAAAGTCTATATTTTTAATTCAATCGATTATACCTTTCCATAAATAGATATTTTTCCCTTATTTATGAAGACAGGTGGATTATGTTTCAGCAACACAGGAAATTTTCATCAGCGTATAATTTCAACTGCACGCTATGGAGACCTTGTGAGTATGTTTCATTTTTTTCTTTGTGAAAACTTTTACAGCATTTCTTTTGATTTCCAGACTAAATTGGAAAACCTTTATGTCTAAATCACTTCAAAATAGAAATTATCAATCTAAGAAACATGAGTCTAACAGCTCAGCATTGTACTTTATAGTACTCCCTTCTATACCCTGGCTCATTCCTGTTTGAATAAGTCACAGAATGTTTAAGCCGAAAACCTCCAATATTGGCCCTATAAAGGATGCAGTATAATATAAATAAGAGTACCACAGACTCTAGATTTAAGTCTAGATTTGTGTATCTTTAGTTTCATATCTTTGGTCTTCAATAAAGTTACTTAACACTTCTAAAATGAGATTATTTTGTGTAATTGGACATAGTAATAATGCTTAGGTCACAGTGCCTATACATGGTAAGCATTGCATAAATTGATATTATTCATATCTAGCCTTATTCTTTATTTTATACATAAGAGCACTAAAGACAGCACATGTCTGTTTTAGCAGACACTGGTGGTAAAAAGGTCTAGAGTATAAAGGGAGAAGGGAGTGAATTGGTTATTATTAATTTTTTTGTGTGTTGTGCTGGGGATTGAATCCAAGGCCTTGTGCCTGTTAGGCCAGTAGTGTCACAGAGCTGCATCTCTGGCCCTGGAAGTAGAGGAATTAGAATAAGAGAAATGCATAGAGAATTGGCACTGCGTGACTACCTGGAGGTTAGAACAGAAGTTAGTTACTGAACACTGAAGATGCCCAGTATGCCAGCAGAGCCCAGGGCAGATACACTTGTGGCCTGGTTGTTATTAACATCAAGTGAGTGGAGATGATTTGAAGGGATGTAAGGATAGCGGCGATGAGGGTAGAATCTGGGCGCTTGATGAACACGGAAACATTTCTCTTTCTCAGGACAATCTTGTGGGAGCAACACATACTTACCAAATAGCTGCAAAACAACAAACTAAAGGATAAAATAGGGACATACTTAAGAAGCTCTAAAGTCATCTGAAGAAATGGCTCATGTCACAGAATGTGTGTTTTCTGGGCATTTTTTTCTCCGTCGTAGACTGTAGTGCCTGTAGTGTACTTCTGTGTATGGTTATCAAATTCTCAGGCCTTTAATTTCCTTTTTTTCCCCTTTTTCATATAACTGAAGCTGAAATAATTTTTCAAAAGGTCTCAATAATACCTTTTTTTTTTCTCCCTCATCTGAACTCACCAATCATTTAGAGGTCATATCCCTTTAGTGTTCTCCAGTCTGAGACAAGTCTTCAGTCTTTCCTTGTTTTTCATGAGCTTAACACTTCAAATTATAAGATTTACCCTGTGTAGGTTAACCTACCACCTACATCTGTCCAGTCTTTCTTCACATTCAGTATACGCTTGGCAGAAAGCCATTGTTTAAAAAGGTGCTCAGTGAGGTTCAATACGTTGTATGATTCAGAGCGCATACAGTGTCTGTCCACCTGTCCCACCACTGCTGTTGATAACCTTGATCACCTGCTGTGACTTCACCATAATAACCATAATTTACTATTTTCCCCTTTGTAATTGAACAACACTTTTGTGAGGAGAATTTCTCCCATCCAAGTACTAACCAGGCCTGACCCTGCTTGGCTTCCAAAATGAGGCATGATCAGGGTGGTATGGCTGTACACAGTGTTCTAATCTCTACAATTATACTTTACTGGCTTTTAAAGTCCTAGCTTCAGTCTCCATGAATGATTCTTGCCTCAACAGTCTTCCATGTTTGTTCATTGACATTCTACCCTAAAGAACTTTTTCTCAGTACATTTATTAACGAATAACCTTCTGTAAAGAGTAACTTTACTTTCTCTTTGTGCATTTTAGAGCTTTTTTTCATACACTTGTAGAATTTTTGATTATTTAGTGTGTGTTATAATCTCTTATTGTTATTCTTGTTTTCAAAGTTGAAGTCCTAGATTTGAACTTCTCTTCAAGGTAGTCTGCATCATTCTGTAGGCATATCCTAGGGTTCTCTGTACTGTGTTCTAGGCTTGCTTTGTATAATTATAAATTTAATAGTGTTCTAGTTTTTATACATAAAGTACTATAGATAAGCCTTCAGTCAATATGTAGATTTTTCTGGTTCTAAATTCCTGGATTAGAATGTGAATAAGAAGATAGTGCAGTTTCAACACTGCCACTGGCATGGAAGGTGACTCCATTTTGCTTGTGTTTGCCCTTGGTGTTACCAGTGCTCTTCCATTCCCACTGTGTGTGTGTGTTTCTTCAATCTTCTATGCATTTATCCTTTTTCTTAAAAAAGAGAATTTTGCTTATTGAATAGATGAAAATACTGCCTCATAATTTTATCTTAAATGTATTTGACATCTATGGAGCCAAGTTCTAGATAATTTGGTTGTATCTCCCCTGTTGATGTGCAACTTGTTCTTAATGTTCTCAGTATCTCACCTTTTATTTTTTTGTGTTTTTGTTTTTGAAACAGGGTCTCCTTGTAGCCTCAGTTGAAGTGGAACTCACTATATAGACCAGGCTGGCCTTGATCATACAGAGATCCACCTGCCTCTGCCTCCCAGTGCTGGGATTAAAGGGATGTGCCACCATGCCCAGCAGTGTCTCTCTCTCTCTCTCTCTCTCTCTCTCTTTTTTTGGCAAAAAATATAAGTAAACTTTGAAGCTGTGGTTCTTGACCAGAGGCTTATTATCTATGGCTTTCTGAACCCAGGTGTGATAGCTGGATGTAGCTTGTAGTAGCACCGCTGAAAGGTGGAGGCAGGAGGATCAGGAGCTCAAGGTTGTCCTCTGCTACCTAGTAAATTTGAGGCCAATCTGGGTTATGTGAGACACTGTCTCAAAACAGAAAACAAGATCAAAACAAAACAGAAAGTATGAGTGCCTTGAATCTCCTGGAGATTCTGGTTGCTTTTGATCAAGCAAGGCATTTTCTATTTTTAGGATGTTCCTAAGGTTGTAATGTTCTTCAGGAAGAAATGCTAATTACTCTTAGATCCCAAATTTCCCATTGTGTACAAATTGTTTCCATAATTTTTTTATGGTAATCCAGAGTCAACAAATGTTAACCATTCAATCAATACTCAATATATTTTTTCTTTTTTCTTTTCATTTTCTTTATATCTTGTATTAGTCAAATAAGCACATATATTTTTATGAGTATAAACATATTTTTTCTCCTTATGACCTTTGCCTAAGTGTCATTATTTTGTCATGCAACTCTAATTGTAATAGATGCTGTTGATTAAAAATTTTAAATTCCCAGTAGTATTTTTCTGTGAACAATAAAAACGTAACTGGTTATTTCTCACTAAAGGTACACATTAGTGTCTTCCTAACAATGTTTGGTTAAGGAATCTTCCTTTGAACTTAAACCTAACTTCATCTCTCTGATTACAGGGCATGTCTTTAAACTCAGAATGGTTTACAAAGTATTTGCAAGCAGCAGCAGCTGCATGCTGGGTAAGTGTAAATATTTTAGAAAATGTTTTCCCTGTAAGTGGATTCATCTCTGTAGTCATAATCTGTAAGATTAAACCCTTACTATTGGATTGAAAGAGAGTACATAAAATAGTATTCAGTTTACACAAATTGAATGTCCTCAGGCTTATTTGGCTGTAATGGACCATTTAGAGAAACTGAAAGTTGTTGAGTGTTGTATTGACCTAGTATGTGCTTCGAGTTCGCAGCTTTGATATTTCAGAAGAAGACAGAAACAAATCCCTCATGTAAGTCATTGAACTGTACTTAGCATTACTATTCCCATATCATCTTTCAGGCTGTTCAAAGTATGTAAAAACAATAAATCAAGGTTAAGAGCTGTGTGTGTGTGTGTGTGTGTGTGTGTGTGTGTGTGTGTGTGTGGCTGTTTTTCTTTTTTTTTTGGTTTTTTTAAAAGTGGTTGGAACATGTATGTCTTTGGAGGTGCTGTTTGAAAAAAGACATGAAAGAAATGTTAGCAAGTCATGTAAATATGTAGGGAAAGAACATCCTAAGGAGGAGACCACACGAGAACAAAGATTACAAAGCAGGAGTTGACATGCTTAAGAAACAGGAAGGAGGTTGAGGTGACTGAGCAGTGTGTACATAGAGAGTGCAGAGGAGCTAGAGTCAGAGGTGTGGGGCGTGGCTCTCCAGGGAACCTGGAGTTTGTCCTAGAGGACATAGAAAGATTCCTACAAAGGAAGACATGGTCTAAGTCGAGGTTTTGAAAGTATTGCTGTAGCTTGAAGAGTGGATTTCTTTGGGTGACAGCAGGAGCAGGGGCTCATTTAGGGTAGTGGCAAAGTCATTTGAGTGAGGGGCACCAGAGCCTGGGGTAAGGGTGGGGTCATGAAAATAAGAGAAGTGCTTAGCTTCGCCTGTTATTTGAATACCGGACCAACAGGATTCACAGATGCATTAGATACGGGGAAGGGGGAGAGATCATTTATTCTAGAAAGATTTTTACTTGACTAACTAAAAGTGGAGTTGGTTTTTCAAATGGAATTATGAAAGACGTTTGGGAAATCAAACTCAACACATGATCTTACTATGTTGCTCAAAAAACAAATTACTTAAGGAAAGTAGAGTTGATTATATGTTTCAGATGAAATATATAGTCATAGTATTCCTTCAAATATAAATATTCTATTTAATAGTTTCTTAAAATATCATCTTTTATGTTTTTACTTAGTTCTGCTTTCAGCAAATCATGTTCATATTTTAGCCTAAAATTTATAATGAAAATATCTTTATTACTCACCTTCATGTATTAAAACTTTATTTTCTACCTAGACTACAGGAAAAATACTAAAAACAATTAGTATAGATACAATTAAGCATAATTTTTCTAGCAAGTTTTGTTTACACTATTGTCATTTCATTTCCTTGCGTAGATGCATGCCAACCTGACCTCTTGCCAAGCCCTTGGGAATATGTGTGTAATGAACATGAATTCTTATGACTCCACCACATTTGATGCGTGTCGACTATTTCATTATGTCTTTGAAAGTACAGCTGGATTGAGTAGTGTTCATTCTGTTCCGTTCTGGTAAGGGTATTTGGATGGATGAAATATTTCAACTGAATTCGCTGCAGTTATTTTCATAAATATTAGTAAATGCTCTTCCTTTTATCAAAACCATTTAATTGTTTGTAGGAGGCAGAATCTTCCATGGCTGTTTTATGGAGACCAGCCAGGAATGGCACCCCAAGTACTCAGCAGCACACCTCTTCCTCCAAATTTCAGTTTTAAAGGACAAAACCAGGTACAAACCTCTACACTACACATTGAAAGATAAGAAGATTACTATAGCTTGGAATGTAGCTCAGCGGTGGTATGCTTACCTGCCATACACAAGGCCCTGGATTCAAGACCCCAGTCCTCAGTATGAGGGGAAAAAAGAAACTTATTAGTCACACTTCTTAATTTTCAAGATTATTTTTAAAAGTTTCATACTTAATAATATAAATATCAATTGCTTATAGAAACTGCACAGTGCAGAGTTGGTCTGTCTTACTTGGATATATAGATATCTGGACTGTGTGGTTACAGGAGCACCTGTAGGATTGAGAAGAGTTGTTTTCATCATCAAATGCAAAACAGTGTCTGTCATATAGCTACAGTTTTAGAATGGCTTCCAAAGATGGGTTGGGGCTCTGTGACACTGCCTAGCAGTTCAGCTCCTCTTCCCACTTGTAACTTTCCAGAATGAAGTAATTGTGCCTTCCTCCACACTCATCCCCATTTAACAGGTTTGAAAGGAAGTATCCTGCTGCTAGTGCTGCCTCTCAGTTCTGAAATAATACTTTTTCTGCCAAACATCTGTCCTGGTCATTAGGTGTATTTAATCATACAAATAGTGAGATTACTTTTCATTCACATTAATGTTATTTGAATTTAATTTTTCAACAAACCAGGGTTAACATTGAAAAGATAGTCAATAGTGAAAATATTTTCATGGACTATTATCTTATTGTTGACATTATCTTATTGTTGTTTTTCTTTAACCAAAACACAGATGAAGTTTATTGCTGCATCTTATGATATAAGAGGAAATTTTATCAAATGGCAAACTTTAGAAGGTGGTATTTTACAGGTAAGCATGATTCTACCTAAAGAATTACTAATGTTCTTTGTTTTTGCTAGAGGAAAAAATTAGACTGTTGCTTGAAGTGTATTAGTTACTGTTGTTGTTTCTTTTTATGATGCTTTAAATTGGAATTTCTTTTTTATTATTACATTTACTTACTGTGAGGGGTGGTGCACATGTGCCATGGCACATGTGTGAAGATCAGAGGACAATTTGTGGGAATTGGTTCCTGGGGATCAAACTCAGGTTTTCGGGCTTGGCAGCAAGTGCTTTTACCTACTGAGCCATCTCATTTGCCCAGTTTGGAATTTTGTAAAACTGTTTTTCAAGTTATGATTTTAATGTATAACTAAAATGCTTCCTTGGCTTTTTGTGCCCTTCATAAGTACTATGTAGAGCATATATGCATGTGGTATCCAGAGAACTCTTTAAGCAAAGAAGACATCTGTGAGAGATACTTATGGGCTATATTCTTTTGCTAAAGCTTTGTCCAGACACAGAGAGAAGACTAGATGCTGCTTATTCCTTTGGAACAACCTACCAGCAGGACGTAAGTGTGAACTATACGTACGTAGGAAGCAGTCTGTGCTTCAGCCTATTTCTCCAGAATAGCACAACAACAACTGAAATGATATGTGTGTTTTCTAAGTTGTGAAATTTTTAATGGTAATGAACAGTTCATTAATAAGTTCTTATTATCTGGGCACAGAATATGTTAATCATCAAGAAGAAAGTTCCTCAGTGTATACATAATTATAAACATTCTATAATGTTAGATTTTCATAATCAGTTATGTGCTTCTAGACTTATGTGTCTTAAGCATAATTCTACTTCTGAGCATTTTAGGTTAGTGACTACTGAAAATGTAAATCCCTCTTCAGTCTACCTCCCAGTGCCAAACAGCACCGTTCCCTTTTCTCGCCCTCAGTATGTCCCCCTCCCTCCAGACTTTCCTTTCTCCTTCCTGTCACGACTTTCTTTCACTTTGATACTGCAATATGGTATGAAGGAATATTGCAAGCCGCTAAACATTTGAAAGAAACTCAGTAAATTGAAATGTTTATTGACGGCACGTATAGTCACACATATAGAACTAAACCACACTGAAATATACCACCATGAAATGCAGGTTGAAAGAAATTAAAACATTTTTCAGTGATCATTTTTGGAGAGTTTTGCCAGAGATCATTTTGTTTCCTTTTTTATATTTTTCCAAATTTTCTACTGTGAACATGAATTTATTTTTATGATTAGAAATGACTTTCATAGTGTTTTGTCATCATAGTTAAAAAAATTTTTGTTAATTTATATTTTTATGTATATGTGTTTTGTTTGCATGTATGTAAGTGCACCCATATGTGCAATGCTCATGGAGGCCAGGAGAGGGCTTCACAACCCCTGGAGCTGGAGTTATGGATAGCTGTTAGCCACCATGATGGGAATCAAACCCAGGTCCTTTGCAAGAGCAGCCAGTGCCCTTAACTGTGGATCCATCTCTCCAGCCCATGGCAGTTATCTTTAAACATGAGCTACCATGAGCTAGGAGAATCAACAGTTGTTAAGTGCCTGTGGCTGTGCTCAGCGTTTCATCATTGCGGTCCCATTCGATCAATAAAACAAGTATGTAAGATACTTGATATCTGTGCTTAAATGTTATTCAGTGCTGTTAAGATGGCTGCTCAAATCCTTACATCAGGTAAACTGCAGAGTCAATGTTCTTCCAGATTTAAAACCATGATTACTGCATTGAACCTGGTTGCCACTTACAAAAGTAGTTCCCAGCTCAGTAAACAAAGTAGCTAAATAGAGAATTGCAAAGAATGTGCAAGCGTTGTACTAGAGCTAGACGTAAGATTCCAGTCCTCAGGGAAGTGCAGAAGTTCAGAGTCAATGATAGTTAGATTACATAATGAGCATGAGCTGGATGGACACTGTAGGAAAGGAAGTTTATGCAAAACCCGCATTTGCAATGTCTGCAAGATAGAATAGCAGGGAATGCGTAGTTTGGAACTGTAGTGGAGTGGTATGAATGGGAGGTGGTAGACTGTCAGAGAGCAGTGAGACAAGCTTAGCTCTGCCAAGGGGGGCAGTCGCACACATCATTGCACATCAGGAGAAAGAATCAAAATTTCACAGGACAACAGTGGGTTTTATGCTTTTTCTCTCGTGCACTTAATGTTGAGAAGGCCTCTCTGTGTGTTATAGATTAAGGACAGAAGTTCTTTACTGATAGGCTTTTAAAATTATTTGTTTTATTTTTATTTCATGTGTTAAATGTTTTGCCTGCATGTAAGCGTACCCTTGCCTGCAAATCCACAGAGGCCAAAAGTGGGTGTTGAATCCTTTATAACTGGAGTTATGGACAGTTGTTAGCTGCCATGTGAGTGCTGAGAATCAATCCTGGGTCCTCTGCAAGAGCAGTCAGTGCTCTTAACTGCTGAGCCATCTCTCCAGCTCCACCCCGCCTCCACCATTTTTTTGGTCGTGGTGGTAAACCCTTATAAAATAATATTTATGAAGTGATATTTGGAAGTCTTTTGGAAATGTCCATGAACAAAACAACTTAAAGATACTTTATTTTGCAAAACTGAAAAAAAATGTAATGATGACAAATGTGTTTCTTAATTTTTATTTTTTATTTTACTTTCTAGTGTGAGATTTCTGTTTCTAAAATCTTGGCTGACTTTCCCAGTCCTGTATTTTATGATGTTTATCTTGAATATACTGATGAAGATCAACACCAGAATATTTGGGCTGTGCCTGTATTAAACCTAAATCTTCAACACAATAAAATGTTTGTTAATCAAGGTAAGATATTCTACCATGTTCTCTCACAACTGAAATCAACAAATGTCAACCAACGTGATAACTTTAATAACAGTGATGATAAGAAAGATCATGGATTCTCTTAATATATGGTTTTGTACAGTATGTGCCAAAGTACAATGAGACAGTAAGATTGCTGATGTATTTAGGCCTTTTGTTGTTGTTTTACCAATTTTATTTTCAGGAATATTGTGAGGAAATTATATTATTGCTGAGTATCCTGAGTAAAACTAGTAGGACTCTAAATTGAGACTTTTTCCTCAAACCATTCTTGATCTTTTTAGACAAAGTACTTTCTTATATTGTTACTATGCTGTAAAATGAGACTCAGGTTGTCAGGAATTTTTACAGCTGTTGTGCTTTGTGCCCATCTTACCAAGAACAAAATAGTAATTTTTAAATTTTAATGTCTTCAGTAGATTTTGTGAGTTCCATCTTAAACAATTTGTGTTTTTCTTTCTTTTTATAATAAAAGACAGTAGCTCTAGCAAGTGGCTTCTTACTCGGCGCATTTTCTTAGTGGATGCGGTAAGTGGACGAGAAAATGATTTAGGAAGTCAGCCAAGAGTGATTCGTGTTGCTACCCAGATATCCCTGAGGTAAACAAATGTCTAATGACTAAACTAGACTTAGAGTATGAGACAGTGTTATAATGAATGTGTTTGCCAGTAATTATTAGATGGAAACAATAAGGATAACTGAATTGAAACAACAAGTAACATTTTCTTAATATTTCTAGACCAATAAAGGTAAAGGCCATGGGGGTGGGGGGAACTAATATCTGAAGAGCCTGAGGAGTTTGGCCAAAATTGATGTCCTGGGTCCCAGTCTCTACCTGGGGAACTGCAATGGGCTGAAAGAGGAAGGGAAGGAAATGCCAGTGACTGAAATGAGTACTTTAGGAGGAGGATTATTCTTCAGCTTCCCCATCCTCTCTTCCATGCATGGCTATTGTTCTAGGTTGACCCAGGTTAACCAGCATCCCCTCTTCTCAGGATGTCCTAACTGTGACACTATCTTGGAGTGGTACCAGACAGCCCATATGCCTCTTTTCCATGTAATAGTCCTGTGTCTAAGATCTTCACTGTCTCCTACTCTAATATTTTGTGATATATACTTTGAATGTACTCATGGAAGACAATGCTTTCACCTCACATTAGTTTTATCCTTTGAAATACTTCACTGTTCATTTTGAATCTCGTAACAGTTTTATGAGTTGGGCAGTGTGAAAGCTTTCTCATGTATCATACTGAAATCCAGTATTTTATGTTTTTAACATCTGTCCAACATGCCAATGTAGTATGCCTAATGGAGATGAAATTGAACCTACTTAGGTTGACCTGTTTTGGTGAAAGCATGTTGGCCCTTTCCTTTTTGAGTTCACTAACAGCATGGTGCTGATACATTGCTCTTGCCAAAATGTCCTGTAGCTCAGCTCTTTTGACGACTCCTTAAGGATGACTTACAGTACTTCCGTGATTTCATTTGTGTACCTCATTGAGCCTAAATCAAAAGAGTGTCTAACTTGTCCCATAGAGTATACTTTAATATTAAAGATTTGACCACTTAAAATTAACTGGCAGCTTAACCCTTAGTTTATATTTAGATTTTCCTAGTCCTTACTGACTGACTGGTTCTGAGATAGCAAGACAACCTATAATGAATTCAAAAGAAATGATAAATGTATCCTTAAGGGCCTAGATATATTTACAACTTTAAGTGTATTTTCTCTTAATAGCATCCACCTTGTACCAAACACAAAAAATGGAAACATATATACTCCCTTAATCACCATTGCCTACAGTGACATTGACATCAAAACTCCTAATAGCCAGTCTGTGAAGGTGAGTTCTTTACACAGCCCTTTCTGTGTATAAATACTAGTCTGATGATACAGTTTAGAGTGGTCAAATAATAATCTTTTATTTTTCCAAGTCTCAAACAAACTCTTTTCTTCATATAGTCAAATATTAATTAGCTATAACTAATAAGACCAGGAATAGATAGTTTTAATTTAATTATTATTTTTAATTATGTGTATGTGTGTATGTCTTTGTGGAGGTATGTGCACATGTGTGTGGTAGCATGTGGAGGTTAGAGGGTTGAAGCTCCTGGAGCTAAAGTTACTGGCAGCTGTGAGCTACTCACTGTTGGTCCAGGAAATCAAATTTAAATCCTCTGTAAGAGTAAGACATGCTCTTTAACTCTGAACCACCCCTTCAGTGCCAAGAATGGATGAAGTTTTTCAGTGGAAGGTCACTGGCAGTTAAGCATCCCCACTGTACTGATACACTGAGATGCATGGGATCTGATCTTATCCTGTCTGGCCTCTTTGCTTTTTGTCTCCTTACCTAATTAAACCAAGAACCTAGAAATTACAGTTGATATATGGGGGCTCAACAGTGTATAGGTCACTGGATAGAGATGCATTTCAGCAGGAAGAAAGATTAAAATTGTGAGCTTTATAACTGGTACTGCTACGGTGAACTAGGAAGAAATTTGGACTTGTAGCCCTAATTCACGACAGAACTGAAGGCCTTCTGTGTCTGAGAGGCCCATATATGAAAAAGAGAGACCTGTGCATCCCAAAGTCAGTCTGCACCAGAGGATGAGCCTGGAAAAGCCTATTCACACAGGGCTAGTGCCTCCTCAGCCTCTCCCTCAGATTGAGCCCTTACCTCTTGGAAGAAGGATAAATGAGAGAAGGATAGAAGCAAACAACAGTGAATCCTCGGCTCTCTCTGTACCTAAAGAGAAAGCAGATGTTCCCAGCCCTCCGGAAGTATGAGAAGCTGGGGTAATTGTCCCCTACCTCAAGACTCACCAATAGCTCCTGATTTCTGTCATTTTCCCTTCTAGGACCGTGGTCTTCCCCTTTGGTCAGCCAGTGCTCTCGGCCTGTGTGTTGTACCTGCATTCAGCTATTGTAAGCAGGCTTTCATTAAGCAAATTAGGGACAAAATATCGCTTTAAAAGATATCACTTTAAAAGATATCTTGTCCTCATTGCCTGATACAGTTAGTTAAAACAAGTTTACACTGACGAGCTTATATATACTGTAATGAGAGAAGAAAACCTAGAAATACACTAAGTAATAAAAAAATGGCTGCCTGGTTTAAAACTTGCTAATTATTCATGGCTGACCAGCAGTATGCATTCTTTTAACATTATTCTTGTGTAAAATGTTCCAAAGTAATAGAAACTAGAAAATAAGGCATAAAAGAGGAGGGCTGGCAAGATTACCCAGTGGGTAAATGTGCTTGCCCCACAAGCATGACAAGCTGAATTTGATCTCTGGAACCCACATAAAGGTGGAAGGAGAGAACTGACTCCACGAAGTTGTCCTCTGACCTCCATTTATGTGTCATGGCATGTACGTACCCCCTCCATCACATACACACACACACACACACACACACACACACACACAATTATATACATACATACATATATATGGTCTTTCTGAGACAGGTTCTGCCTGTATCCCCAGCTGATCTGGAACTCATTGTGTAGACCAGGCTGGTCTCAAACTCACAGAGGTCTGCCTGCTTCTGACTCCTGAGTGCTGGGATTAAAGACATGCAACACAATGCCTGACTTCCATAACTATATATTTTAAATAAAAAAGAAGTAACAAAGGAGTTGTGAATCATAAACTACTTTGATAAAGCTCACCTTAAATTTATTGTAATTGCAAAATATATAGTTCTTTGATCATTTTTCTTATGGCAGCTGTTACAAAAACTCTGTCCGTTTAACTTTCCAGCTATGGCTTTTATCTCTAACCCACAACAAATAACATTGCCTCCTATTTTACTGAGCAGATCAAAACCATTTAATACAAATTCCCTTGGATGTCCTCTCTGACACCTAAGAAGGGCCAGTGTTTCATTATCTATCCCATTTCTGTTCCTTCTTGCTCTTTCTAAGCTCATCTTGTACCTGTGAAATGTCATCTTTCACCCCAACTGGTATTCAGCCAGGCTCTCTTCTAGTCCCTTTCCTTTGCTTATAAAACTCTTAGGATGTCTCATCTTAAAACGAAACTAAAGTCTTTTGTGATCATTGCCCTCTGTTGCGAGGGAGCTTCGTTGATAAAAGTTGAGAGACGCATTAGTATTTTTTCTACCCCTTGTTTTACTATGTTCCCTGAGTCTTAGGTGTAAAGGTTCCATTGTAGATGTGTTACTTAAGGGAAGTGGGCAGCAGGCCCCAACCTTAGCCAAAGAATTATTAGCAGCTGATCACTACGAGTGAGGAAGAGTTGATCTTCTTTAAGGGAGAGACTCTAGATAGGCTGACTAGACGCCAGTGGATGAACTTACACTGAGGGACATCTGGGTACACTAACTTGACTAGATAGGACTTAACATATATGACAGAATGCATGAAATCCAGTGGGAGGGCTTTGGATGGGTGGCAGTAGGGGAGGGGATCTAAAGATGATTAAGATGTTTTGTATGAAATGCACAAAAGTTCAATAAAAATATACATTAAAAGAAGAAAAAAAAAAAAGCCCTAAAGTAACCAGCACCATCAGACCTTTCCTCGTAGGGCCAGCACCTCAGCTCGCCTCACTTCCACTTGGGCCTTTGCCATTTTCCTCCTTGGAAGAGCTCTTATGCAGGTCAGGAGACTTTGTTTTGGCATTTGTATACCTGACACTGTGCTCTTGACCGCTCCTTCCCAAAACACATTGTTCTCTGACTGATGAAGCTGAGGTGACTGCCTCTCCCTCCTCTTGTACCCTTTGCTGGTTCTTTCCCTTGACTCTCAATGTGATGCTGTCCCCAAGATCCTTGTTCAGACTTTTGCCTTCCCTACCCTCTTAGGATTTGGTTGTTTAGCCAGTCGCTAAATTTTTTATTTTTTATTTTATGTGTTCATGAGTGTTATGCCTGCATGTGTGTAAGTGTACCCATGTCATACAGTGCCTACAGAAGACAAAAGAGAGTGTTCGATCTTCTGGAACTGGAGTTATGGACAGTTGTTTAGCTGCCATGTTGGGTGCCTGGATTCAGACCCAGGTCTTCTGCAAGAACAGTTTAGTGCTCTTAACTGATGAGCTGTCTCCAGCCCCCGTTACTAAATTCTTGATATACAAGGTCAAGCAAATGCCTCAGTGACAGGAACCTATGTGAAAATGAAATTTGGTCAGTTTGGGTTGAAGTACTGTCAATGAACTTAGCTTAGTTCTTTAAAAAAAAAAAAAAAAAACCCTCTCTCTTTTCATTTTTATTCAAGAAAGATATTTGAAACAGCATGAAAATTCTCAAGCTGTGTGTAAAGGGTAGCATCCAAATTATTGTAGTTAAAAAATACAGCATTTATGGTAAAATGCAGCTTAAGTTTATTACAATAAAACTAGATGTGTGCTGTTTAATTTTAATATGATTGATCTGTTTTCTTTTAAATACCAGGTTTCCTTCTCAGTCAAATATGAAATGAATCAAGGCGATGCATTTGTCCAGACAGATGTGAGTGCATTTTGACCTACTAAATATTTGCAGTGCATTTTTAATTTAAAAAATTGCAGATGTAAAATAAAGTTGATTTGCCATGTACTCTTACCCCCAGTGTTAACACCTAACCATGACACAAAGATTATAATCAGTAAATTGGTCCTGATGCAATCTTTTTGGCTAACCTGCATGCTGTAGGGTAGTTAGGCTTTGATTGTCCTTTTGGTTTCTACATTGCTTTTAGCTGTCACATCTCCTAAGTGTCTGCCCTTCAGTCTGTGACAATTTCCCAGTATTTCTTTGTCTTCTATGACTTTAACACTTTTTTTGTTTATTTTTATTTTATGTGTATGAGTGTTAAGTGTACCCATGTCATACAGTGCCCACAGAGGTCAGAAGAGGGCATCAGATTCCCTGGTACTGGAGTTATAGACAGTTGTTAGCCATCTTGTGGGTGCTGGGAATCGAACCTCGGTCTTCTGTAAGAACAGCCAGGGTCCTTAATCACTGAGTCATCTCTCCAGCCCCAACTTTAACACATTTAAAGAGCACTTGTTAATTATTTTGGCCTTCGATTTGGGCTTACCTGGAATTTTCCCATGATTAAATTGAGACTGTGTAGTTTTGTCAAAGAAACCACATCAACACATTGAGCCCTCCTCTGTGCATCTACTCAGAAGGCACTTGATAAGTGGCTCTCATTGCTGGTGACATTCATTTTGCTTCTGTGGCTAGGATAGGCTCTATAGGTTCTTCTCTATCTGTGTGACTTTCCATTTGTAATGAAGTGCCTCATGGGGAATACTTGGAACTATGCACTATCCTGTTTCTCATCATTCTTTTACCCTCTAATTACATGTATATGTGTGTACATGTGTGTGTGTGTGAAGGTGCACACATATGTGAAGGCTAGAGGTTGACTTTAGCTATCTTCCTCTGTAGATTTCCACCTTATTTTTAAGACAGAGTCTCTCACTGAACTGGGAGCTCCTAGATTTGGCCAGAGTCACTGGCCGGCGAGCTCCAGGGATCCTCCTGTCTCCATGTCTCCAGTACTAGGATTGCAGGCACATGTCACCCTGCTCTTTACTTGGGTGTTGCATGAGTCCTGGGGATCCAAACTCAGGTCTTCATGAAGGTACAGCAAGCACTTTACTGAGTTTATTTCATAGTCTTGCCATCTAGTTTTATTTATTATTTTTATGTGTATGAGTGTATTGCCTGCTGTGTGTAAGCACACCCATGTTGTGCAATGTCCACAGGCGTCAGAAGAGGGTGTTGGATTCCCTTGGGACTGGAGTTACAGATGGTTGTTAGCCACCGTGTGGGTGCTGGGAATCAAACCTAAGTCCTCTGCAAGAGCAGCCAGTACTCTTAACTGCTGAGCCATCTCTCTGTCCCTTTATCATTTAATTTTAGCATCCATTGATGATTCATGCCTGCATAAAGTATTATTGCGATACTTACCTGTTTTTTTTTTAATTTCCTTCATTTTTTTCTAAATGTATGAGTTGGAACTTTATTGTAAGGTGGAGCTTTCCTTTGCCCACATTGTTTATTCACTTACTCAAATCAGCATAATCTTTTGGATATTTATTTTAGCTGATTGTATAATCCATTACTGTTCATTTTCTTGCTCCAAATTTTGCAGATTTAGCTATAGGAATTTCCTTCTGCTTGCTTCCTGTGTCCTTTCAACTGCTCCTATCATTCTTGAGTACCTTTTACTTTCTATTTACAGCCCTTTTTAGTACTAAGGCGAGGACTTACATCAGTTCTAAGATGTACAAAAAAGTTGCCTTTACTTTTTTCTTTAGGTTGCTTTGGGTGTATTGGGTGGGCTAGCTGTGCTATCATCTCTCTTGAAGACTGCGGGGTGGAAGCGTCGCATTGGGAGCCCCATGATTGATTTACAGGTACGTCTCAGTTTTTATTTGACCATTCTGGATCTTTCTCATAAAATACAGCTAGAGGATGCACAAAAAAGTTGCCTTTACTTTTTCTGGGGTGTAAGTTAAGAAAACTATTGCTGGGTCACTGGATATATGCACACCTCACTTCCTTCCCACAGTCTTGTTTACTAGTCTACAGTCTCATAAACAGTGCCATTTTAATTTTTGCTTCTCCTTGCCAGTGCTTGACTTTTTTCAACATTTCCATTTTTGACCAATCGAGTGGCATATTAGTATATCATTGTTGATTTTATTTGTTCCTTTGTTTCATCTTATTATTCATGGGCTTTTTTAAAAATTTAATTTAATAACCACATGATTAGAAGAAGCATTTCATTACAGCTTTAACATATTCAGTAACACATTCCAGACCAAGGATACATTC